TCCTGCTGATAATTACAGCTACCTTTGTAATTCCTGTGGCAGCTGTTTTGGCAGTTGTATTGACCTGATCTTGTAAGCTGTGACTCAGGTACCAGTTTGATGCTAAGCATGAACTGAGATGAAGAGTGCCTTCTGGGGCGTGCTGAGCTCTTGGGCAGGGACCTAGGGCAGAAATTTCTGAGAGACCATGGGACTTCCTCACACTATCCTGAAAACAATTTCAGGAAGGCCGGATGAGCAGAGCTGTATCCTATACATGCCTGTTTTCCGGAGAGTTATCACATCTGGGAAGAGGGATAAGGAGAAATAATTTATGTGGGAAAGGAAACTGAGGAAAAGTAAAGGCCAAATGGCCTAATGAGGTGTAGCGAAAGCAGGGGAATTAGGGCTGAAAAATGGGGAATTTCTGTTGAAAAGCTGGCAAACTGGTGGGTCTGGAAGAGTGATTTATAAACTGGGAACTGTCAGCTTGGGGCACAGGTGTTCAGCAATGGATTTACCCTAGAGGCAAAGCAAGCTAAAGCTCTTCCCCTCCGGTAGCCTTAGCACAGCAGGTGTTGTCTCGTCACACGCTGTGGCCACGCAGCAGACCCTTACCCATGGCTCCAGTTTAGATTGGGGGTGCATTTGCCTCTGCATTTCTAGGGGCATTGATCAGAGCCTGGAAGAAATTGTAAAGTCTGCAGGTAATGCAAGAGTGGCTGAATAGCAGATGAGGGCAAGACGAGCTCTGTGCTACGGGATAGTGTTAATGGCAAAAAGGGTTGATGGCCTGTTCGTCTGGGTTGACTTGAACCATGCATATTGGTTCATCCAAAAGGAAGAAAAGCTCCAAAGCTGATCTCCTCCATGTATGATACGGCACTATAGGGACTGTATTCCGGTAAGTAGCATCTTAGCAGAGAGAAGAATTTCTTGTGAATGGCTATCTGAAAAAAGAAACGGAGTGATACCTGATAGCTAAGGAATCAGAGCTACTTTTGAAGTTACGTAAATAAACAAGAGAGTCACAGAATAGGAGTAATAAGGCATTATTGGCCCTGTATTTGTCCCTACATCAAATTTGTGTAAGCAGATTGGATTTTCAGAAGGTGCTGACTGCTGGGAACATGTTCCTTTAAAACCGCTCCTGTTCGCTACCCCAAAATCTGTAATTGCTTTTGGAAGTCTTGGCTTCTGAGTAGAATGCTGATATCTGGATTATTGGCATCCAGAAGCTCAAAGCTCTCTAATAAGATTCATTCAGCATTGGTTTTCCTGTAATTAATTTTCTGATTGATTATGTAATTCATTTTTCTGGTTGAGGATGCATTCTGTTTCTTAAATTAATTATTTTTTTCCACCTCAAACTTGCTTATTGTCTTTTCTGCCAAAGTTTTACAGTAATATTTGCAGCATTACCTAGTGACATGTGTGTGCCTTTTCTTTCTCTTTTACAGATGTGACTGCATTCGCACCATGTATTTTGAAGAGTTCACCAACAGATCAGCAGATTAGCAAGCTTGCGAGGAGACTGGGGCCCGAGTGGGAGCATATTGTTCTGTGCTTGGGTTTGTCACATACAGACATCTATCGATGTAAGGTCAATCACCCTCACAATGTGCAGTCGCAGATCATAGCTGCATTTGTCCTGTGGAGACAGCGTTTTGGGAAAAAAGCAACAATCGAAAGTCTGCAAGCCAGTCTGACGGCAGAAGAAGTGGATCCTTCTGTGATACAGTACATGCTTGAGTGAAGCTGTGCTATTGATCGGGAGCGTTCAAGTGCTTTGCTAAACTAAATCAAGTGGATTCACTGAACTGTATATAAAAGATCTGGGGCCTCAAACTGGTGAAAATGGAGTTGAGAACTGTGGTTGTATTAATCTTTATACATTCCAGTTTTCTGTGGCATCTTTTGACTTCATGCCAGGTGAATTTTTAGTAAGCATTAAAAAATGGATCACACTTTCCTGTTTGCTTTTGTACTACTCCAATGGGGATATATAGTGAAATTTAAAGTCTTTACAAGCAGGAAGCCCTGCAGTGAGTTCAGCAAGGTTTTACATTTCATTATGGGAGCAACACTTGGTTTAACCTATTTTCTGGACTATGTATGAGCCTTTTTTACTGCTGTTCACTGCTAGTCCCTGATATCCCATAAGAAATTAGAATAATCGTGGTTACTGATTTAACAATTTTACCACTTGTATTGCAGTTGGCTAATTTGACCTTTATGAAAGTTTTAGCATCAAACATTTTCTTGCCAGGGTGTAGATGGCTGCCACCTTAGCCTGCTGCTGAAACTGGGCCTAAGTGGAAGTAATAGGAACTTTGCATGTTGCTGAGGGTTTTTCTCCTCATTATGTAATTGGCGTAGGTGTGTGCAAGGAGACCGGCACTGTGTGTATATGCCATGTCTAGGCGTAGGATGGGTAGGGAATTCCCAGGACGGATACACAATTTGCAATTGAGCAGATGATAGGCAGGAACTGGCAAACAGAGCAAGATGGTGCCTAAAATGTGAGACAATTTCTAAGGCCTCCGTGTTTGTCTCACTTTGCCTCAGCTAATAAACTGCAAGAAAACCTGGGATCCCTTGAGGCTTTGTACTCCTGTGCTCTGGATCCAGGTAATCTTGTTTCCAGGAACAGTTTTACTCTTTGATGTGGTGTCATCAGTACCGATCTCAGCCCGTGGCGTGCTGAGCAGTGTGCTGAGCTCGCAGAGCTTCTCTGTCCAAAGTGGCAGAGCAATCCCTGCCGCTCTCCTTCCAGCTTGTACCAGCCCCCATGTTCGTTTGCTTCCTACCAGTTTTTCTGCATCTAATGGGGGCAGCTTCGCAATTCCTGTCCCCAGTTCTTTGCCAGCTGTAACTGTAGGAGTAGTAGTAATGGTTAGATTTTACCATGGGCTTTTCTCCTCCTTCCCTCCTGCCAAAGACTTTTTCCTCCTGATGGAAGAAACCACTAAGCTTTTTGAGAGCTGGTAAAGGGGTGTCAGTCCCCAGGGTAGGTGTCCCAGGGCAGGAAGTGACCAGCTGCTCTCTGGGACCTCAGGATAAGAGGCAGAATACAGTTTAGTTCTTTCTGGACAGTTCACACCACAGTAAATGAGGAGCAAAGTTTGGATGCAAGGTTTCCAGGTCAAGTTCCAGGAGAGCGTTTCATCTACGGTCACTGCCAAATAACTTCCTATCCTCCAGGATCTGCCCCATCTGATTTAATAGCTTCACAACCTTGTCTGATGTCTTTATGGAGGCAAGAATGAGCTTTACTGTCTCTTTTTAAATTCTTCCTTTAGCCAGATTTTCAGAAACATCTGGGAAATTAGGAAGGACAAAGAAATTTTAAGGACACTCTGTCTGCCTTGTTTTTCATGTTTTTTCAGAGGCATGGTAACAGAGAATATATCTGGGCAGGATCAACTCCTACAGGCCCTGAAGCAGTCTGGTGGTATTTTATTTTTAGTCTTCTATAATACAGTTCTGACCTTCAGTAAATCGTGATCCTGTTATACCTCACTCAAATCTTAATTGATTATATCCTATTATGGCTACTTAGAGAGTTTAAGTCTATCAACAAGTCCCAAATAAACAATGTAAATCAATTTAGGCCTGAGGGTTTATTTGTTTTACTATTTCACGATGCTTTGATGCCAGCATATTCTGTCTGTCTGAAAGCCGTCTGAGTGCAGATGGGATTGTATAGGTGTACAGACATTTTGCTAAATTCTGATAAACGTGGTCCAACATAGAAAGCGTGAAGACTCTGAACCAGTTCTCTCAGTGAAAAAAACAGCAGTGTCATTGGCAGGTTAGAGAAAAGGAGCAAAGCTGTGTCCATTGCAGCACTTTGGAGAAACCACAACTGGAGATGGGGAGCAGGAGAACCTACTAAAACATGATTTACAGGAAGAAGCTAGCTCTCCGTCGCATAACTGCAAGCATCATATCTTGTTCTGAGCCAGCATAAACCAAGCTTTAACAAAGCATGGGTTCAAAGGGAGTTGTCCCCACTTAACCTTGCCTGAGGGCAGTGCACAGGGCGTACAAACCCCTCTTAACTTTCCTCTTTTGATCAACTTTACATTTTATGTATGTTCTGCGTTTGTAATGTCGATGTCAGGTTGCCCGTAACAAATGCGTTCAGAGCATTTTTAATGAAGATTTTAAAAACACAACTGGGAGTAGGTATAAAAGCTCATGCCAAATATGAATTTATAAGACGAGGCAGAAGCCTTATAGGTCAGGTGTCCTTCTGTGTATCTAGTAGGGGTCACTGGAAACTTGAGGGATCACTATCGTATCAGGTAATTTCTGCGTAGTCTTTAAATAGTTCTTTAAATGAGCTAAATTCTGCGTCCCAGGAGCCATGGCTAGATAAGGAATTTGATACCTGGCCTCTTGCATTGTAGAAGAGAGCACTTCATTCCTAATTTATAGTTACTTGCACATTCCCAGGCCCTAAATTAATGCTGTAATACTTGAGCTGCAAATATTGAAGGGAGAGGTTTAGTTATTTTATGAGACTGTTTCCATTGCTGTTATTTTTAAATTCATGGAAATGTTCCTATTGGACTCTTCAGTTTGGGTAAAGCTCATTCTTGCGCCACACAAGACACATTTAACTTGACAGTACAGGGAGACATTTAACTTGACAGTAGTATTCCTTTAAGCCAGTGGATTTTTCCATCCACTTAAAAATATTTTTCTTCTGTGTGTCATGCTTTATTTTGCACAAGGATGCAATTAAGACAATTTAGTCCTTCAGATGTATAGCAAGTCCTCTCATTCTCTCTTAGGACAGCCAAAAGGTCTTTAAAAGTTTATTCTTCTCCAGCTAATTTGGGACCAAATGTTATTTATTTAAAAGTTACTCACAGGCAAGCCTGTGACTTGAGTATTGTTCAGGAGTGAGGCAACCCAATAAGCCAGTTTTGCCATCCCTGGGACAGCCAGGCCTTACGCTCCCCTGCAGCATCACTGCCCCCTCCGTGCTCCTTCTTGAAGCAAAGAGTAACCCACAGGTCAGACTAGGAGCCCTTCAGAGTGGCAAATCTCCCGCAGCAAAGAGCTACAACATTAAACATATTAATGGTTGCACACACTAGTGGGTAAACTGCAGTTTGTGCTTCACGGCATTGATTTACTTCATCTGTCAGTCCTTTCTGGAAAGTTGAGAGCTTGGCTGGGGGCTCCCTGCTCTGAGGTCTCTCAGTGACTTGGGTTTACAGCTTCACCGCAGAGAAGGAACATAAGCAATAACCTAAACCTTTGTCTGTGCATGGCAGTCTGGGCTGGAAATACCACTTAAACCCGAACAGGGTCAGATGGAGCTGGGTAACACCACAAGACGACAAGAGATTTGGGGCTTTGTGCCGGGCTCTTTGGGGCAGCCAGGCCCTCAGTGGTCACACGGGGGCAGCCACCCCAGCATGGACTTGGCCAGGTTCATGTACCAACAGATGGAGGCGTCACAGTCGAAAAGTCTGCCCTGGCCTCTGCTACTTCTCACCCCTGGCCTCTTCGGTCTTCTTGCTTGAGCTTGGGCTCGGGCAAAGTTTAGCCAGCGATGCATTTGGGTTTCTTAACTGACGCTGAGAAAGCCTGTTTAGTGAAAATCTTGTTATTGCAATTTACTCATTTGTGGCAGCATTTAGTAGCCCTGAGAGAAGAGAACATAAAGGTGGCCCCACTGGCCCGCCCCCAGAAGAGGACCGCTTAACTTCAAGCCCTTGGAAAAACTAGGGAAAATTGTTCTTCTTTCTTGGTCTATAATGGAGACTTTGAGGTCTCCTTTAGCTTCCTTAAGTAGTAAGTAGGCTTTGTAAAAATTATTTTGTACTCTGCAAAGTACAGGTGAACTCTTATCATAGCAATAGCTAATGACTAAAAACACCACTTCCCACCTGCATAAAGTGATGTGGATTATCACAAAGACAGGATCTCCTCAGGGCAGAACGATGTCAGTGAGGCTTTGCACTGCTTTGAGCAGTGGCTGGACTGTGCAGTAAAACACAAATGCAATCAGCTATGAGCTGCTTCTCCCAGATAAAGCGAAGGAAATTTCCATCTTGAGTCATTTGTTATGACAGTCATTGATCTATGGAATAAAACATTTTGCAAAAGGCTGGAAAAATAAACAAAGTCATATTATATCCAAAGAATATAAAAGGCACACTGATCTGATTCTAAATATGGTCATGCTGCCAATTTTGTTTCTTACTGGAAATAAAAACAATCTCTGAGTGCTAATCTATTTATAAGCTTCCATATTCTTGATAACCATAGACTGACTGACCTTAAGACATAGTGGAAATAGAGTTGAAAAGAGAGTTCCTGAAAGGTTTGTGGATTTACAATGAACATTCAAAAGTTTTGTCCGGATTTCACTAAATGAAAAATGTTTGACTTTCAAGGTGTCTTTCTATCACCTGGTAACTAGACCGAGAAATAAATCTAGTGATTTGGCTTTTTTGGCCTGAATACAATGTCTTTTTAACCTTGTTCCCACGAAGGAGGAACAATTTGCCAGAAACAGAAATAAGCTTTCAATATGTCTTCCCAGATTAAAAAAATATATCTGTGTTAGCAGAATTCCCTCTGAACCTCATTTTTTGTGGGTATGTGAAAAAGATGGATTGGCAATTCTTCTTCGAAGCTGTCTTGAGGATTTGAATGGTCAGAGAAGCGTGGTTGAACAGCTGCTGAGTAGCTAACGGCACAGGAAGGGTTGTGTCACTTCTGCAGCGGCGACCACACTGAACCCTCTGCACGTGTTGCTGATACCATTTCTGACACTGGTGGCTGATCCAAGCCCTGAAAGCAAACAGAAAAAAGAAATCTCTCCTTGACTTCGATGCGCTTTAGATTAGACCTATTTAATCAGAGCCTGCTGAATTTCGGTGCTTTTACTGCCTCACTTCGAAAAGGAGTCTATGGATTTTTGGCAACAAAAAGCAAAGGGTTTTTGTGGGTGCAATAAGCCCTCTAGGTTGGGAAGGGGACTCTTTTCACTGCCCCAAGCGCTACTTCGCACTGTTCACTGCAAAGGAGGTGTCATGAGAGAGGAAAAGCACAGAGGAGCGGAGCCATCCAGCAGACACCGAGAGGGTCCAAGGGTTATCAGTATGCCTTGAAAACCACTAATATCATTTTGAATTCTGAAATGTGAATAGTCCCCTCAAAGGCAGGATTTGATGGCTCAGGGGATTGCTAGGAGAGTCGTGGAGTTTTTCACCTCAGAATCAAAGCTCCAAACCCACTATTGGCCCAAAACAAACGCAACCGAACGGCAGCCTATGCAAAATGGATGAAGCCTTTTCTTTCTTACGCCTCCATGACTGTCACGGCTGCCCTGCCCAACGCCAGCACCTGCTATCAGACTTGGACGAGGCATAAAGGCTCGAAGGAGTCAATGCTCGAACTGCCTTCTGCCCAGAGGCAGGACAACCCCGTTAGATCCAGAATATCCTGCAAGGGCGAGGTAGAAAATGTGCATTGCTGCGGCCTTTGCTACATCTGGTGTGCAGTTTGGTGTGCATCCTCCCGGGATGCTGCCCCTCCGCACACCCAGTAAACTTGCTCGGTCCCAGCGGGCTCACGGGAACTGCCTTCCGGGCACCTTGCGGCAGACGCACGGGGGCTGCTGACCTCTCGCTCCTCGGTGCTGTGATAGCCCTTCCTCAGGATTTTGTGTCTAGGCGCAATACCTAACTGCCCAAAATGCTGTTTCTGCATGGCAGAATCGTCTCAGTGAAAAGGGCTTAAGGTGGGCAGGACAACGCCTTAGCTGGGAGCGCTACTCACAGGGCAGAGCCCAGCTGTAATGTTTCTAGTCCAAGAGAGATCTCCAGAGTCAGCTTTGTGATTAACGGTGCCTTGTTTTTTCCTGGATCAGAGCTGATCCAGCACCTTTTTCCTATTTTGCTTGCTGTGCTAGCGGAGTGAATTTTGGCCTGTGACAAGGGCTCTTGCGCTCTGTCGTTCGGCCGCTGTAAGTCAGCCTGCCCCATGGGATACAGCTCAGACGTGGATCTCAGCATGGGCATTGCTGGCTTTAAAAATCTACGCGCTCTTCTAGTACCTAGGGCATCTGCCTGTTGTGGCTAACAGTGGTTTAAATCGTAATCTATATGATTATTACCCACTCTGATCTTCCACCTTTGCACTGTCAATTTTGGATTATTTGTTAAGGGAATCATTCCGTTATTCTTGCAAACCAGACTGGTTGTTTTTTCCATACACACCCTGCCCACCCTTCCCTCAAAAATAAACGTGCCGAGATGCTTACGTTTCTCTGACGTTCAGTTTGATTTTTGAGCCATGCTTTCCTCACCAGGAACTTGATGCTTCCCAGCTAGTGTGCCCGGATGCCGTACGTGAGCTCCAGGAAGGGGCTGCACGTGGTCCCGCTGGGCTGAGGCCGGGAAGGAGAAGCCAGTAACCACATGTACCTTCGTGGGACCTTAACAGAAACAGCCCTGGGCGCACACGGTGCAGTCTTTGCCCTTGGAAGCCCAGTGGACATCCAACAGCCCTGTAAAAAAGGACATAAAGACATATTAAAGGGAAATA